TATCTATCTATCTATCTATCTATCTATCTATCTATCTATCTATCTATCTATCTATATATATATACGCCCTAGATGCATTTGGAGCACAGAGTTCAAGACTGCTTTCGAGTGGTTAGCAAGAAGGGGTCAATCTATATCGAGATCTGTTCGGAGTAAAGATGCACATGGAATATTAGTTAATATTGTAATAAGATGCCCCCTAAACGTAGAGTTTGTTTAAGCCCACGAAACAGAGGTGAAAACGAGAGGAAACGGAGAAAGGCGACTGTCAATCAGAATTTACTTTCTAATAGTCAGAATCTGGAGGTAGACCTTGAGCGTGCTAGACCAAGAAAGAATGGGCCAACGTTGGCCTCAGCGTGCAACGCACAGTCTTTTAGTGAAGCTGAAGTAGATAGGAGATTACGGAAACATGACTGGTGAATTCAGTGTCGTCTGTGATCATTGCAATACCATAAGATGGGGAGAAGAGAGAACTACATTCTGCTGTCAAAATGGAAAAGTTAGTATACCTGTACCTCCCCCACGTCCTCGGGAATTAATAAAGTATTACGATGTAGCACAGAGCGGCAGCTCTTTCTTACCACACTGTACGTCATACAATAATTCTCTCGCCCTTGCTTCAATCGGGTGCCGTGAACAAACTGAACAGAGCTTCAATCCAACCTTCAAAACCCAGGGCAAGCTGTACCACCGATTAGGAAATCTTCCGCTCACTGCAGGACAGTTAGACCTCAGTGGCGGTGGATGGACCAAAATTTGGGTGGGGCTTAGGTTGCTTCCAGTTCTTTACCACCAAATAGCAAGCAATTTTTCTATACTTACGGTTCGCCACGCCAGTTTGAGAACCATTCAAACGAGAAGAGTTGCCTTTGTTTTCCATCTCTTTGTTCTTAGTTTAATTCTTGTTGATGGTGGGGACGAAGCCGATTCACCTCCAATTTCCTCTAATTAGTTTTCGTGTGATAAAAAAGTGGCCTTAAAAGTAGTTCGACCTGATTTATAACTGTTAAATCTCAGCGGCACAAACACAGACATGCACACACAGCACTTCAAACATAATACTTCTATGAGCTGGATTAGGCCGTGTAGTCGAGAAAGTTGAACTCACCCAACAAAGAACCAAAGAGGGTATAGGTATCTGTATCAGTGGGGGAAAGTGTGTCGTAAACTTTCGCCTCATTGTCAGGGCTAGGAGAGCGTGAGCCCTCGGTACAGTGTTATTTTGTCCTAGTCTTCTACCTTTTCACAAGAAGAGTTTCACTAAAGGACGGACTGTGGGAAAAGGGCTCATCTTCGCTGAGCCCTAAAGACATTTGACTGGCTGCTGGGTTACTATAGTTGTAAACGGTGACAACAGTGATTGGAGAAACGAGAAAGCCGCCAAGTTGATCACTCTGTGTTCATTGCGTGCGGTCATAACGGTTTCAACTGTTTATTTCATTATGGAGAAACTTTCATTTACTTTGGGATAGAGTTGGGGGTGGTGGGTGGGGAGGGGGCAGGGGCTCAAGCCCGTGAGTCCTTCCCTACCCACCGCCATTGTTAGACCTGCTTTTGCAATGACTGCCAACAAAGCTCAGGGGCAAACTTTGAAGAAGATAGGGGTTTCTTAAAAGGACGATTTTTTTCCAATGGTCAATTATATGTTGCAAAGAGTCGTGTTGGGTCCAGGGACTCTATTAGGATACATACAAACAGACCTGCTGCCCAGGACGGAGTACCAGATGGCGCATATACCAGCAATGTTGTCTACACAGAGGTCCAACGGCAATGAATCAGGTACAAACATTTTATCTTGGGATTTCCTATAACTATTATATCACCGTTGGTAGAACGGGTAGCTATCTTGTAGTGATAATAATAATAATAA